CTGAAATAAATAGGGATGAAGCTACTTAAGTGCTTAAAATTAAATAAATGCTTAAGTATTTTGTTCTTTGGGGGCTTTAGTACCAATTCCTGTTTGTCTTCAAACAAATATTTCAGGAAACTCAGTTCAGTCAATAATATAAATACAAGGATGGTTTGCACCCTAGGGATGAATTTTTCAGGACAGTATCAATTAATCATCCTTCCCTGGTTTCCTCTCACTTTACTGTGAACTTTCTCCCTGTGAATGAAACCTACTCTTACAATAATAATAATAATCATCATCTAGGCCCTTTGACCACCTGACTGCCTTAACTAATGATTTTCTCCCAAACTGCAATACCCCATGATATAAACTGTGCATACCCAAGATTCTTCTTTTGTTTTAAAGAGAAATTCTACAAATTTTACTGCATTGCATTTCCACTGTAAACACAGGAGCTGGTGCCATGGTGTTTTACTGTATGGTAAGTAACTCAGATTTGGGGAACATTTGCTCTTCAGGTTACAGCTGGACACAGGGAGCCATGGGCAATGTGTTGTAGCAACTGTGCTTTTGGTTCAGTGCAGCAGGTATCATAATACCCTGTGCTTCTAATTAGATGAGAGTAGTCAGGGCCTTGGAGGTTTGTACCCATTTGGGTTCAGCCAGGGCTGTGGCTTAAAGGAAGCAACAGCACAAAGATCTAGTAACAGGCAGCTTGCTGCCCATCCAGCTGCTTGGAAGCATTGAGGGTTGTAGAGGGTCCACACCAGGGGCCTTTAGTGGCAGATTAATTTGGAACATGCTGTAGATGCTTAGCTCACCCTCAGAGGGTGTTGAAGGCAAATCATGTCACAAGGCTGTATGTCCAGTTGTCTGGCTTGATCATCCAATGTGTGATATTTTGAGTAAGTTTTGCATGTGATGGAGAAGGAAGATGAAGATGGTTAGAAGAAAGATTCTTAATGAGCTAGGAGAAAGACTGATGATACTAGGAGAAATTACTCTAGTAAGGGGAAGAGTTGAGTGAGACCTGGTGGAGATGCTTCAGAATGGTGCACTAGAAAAAGTAAACAATCACTCTAAATTAACTGGACTGTGAAAGTGGAGGAAAGAACTGCATAAAAAAATAAGGGATGGATTATAATAAGAGTCCTTCAGAAGTCAGAATATATATAGCTTCCAATATTCACTTTTGCAAGCAATATTTGAATATCAGAGTAAATGTAAGGAGTCTGTTACTGACCACAAACTTTGGTTTGGGGGGAACTTGAGACACAGTTGTCCTGCTTGTACTTATGTAGATCTTGGTCATCTCTCACTGGAGCTCTCACCATGCTTTTAAACCCTACCCAGTGGGCTAGATTATTCCAGGAAAGTGGTAAGACATAAAAAATTGCTTGTGACTTTAGCCTTCCTGTCTTTGGATGCTCAAGCTGAGACATCTTAATAGAACCCCACTTTTCATGCAAAGGTGAATACCCATCCACTGAAAGGCAAATCTTTTGCATGTGTATCTATCATGCTGAGCATTCGAAGTGTTTTGAAAAATCTCAGTTGTTGCTTCTTGACTGGTGAAAAAAAAGTGACAAACTTGGACTCCAAACCAAGGCAAGATCAGACTCCTAACTCCACTCCTCCCCACCCCGTCAAGGACATACAAATTCAGTGAGGTCTATTTCTGAACATTCATGCATTTAAGAGGATGTCAGTGTTGCATGAACAAGATCCTGAAGGAATACAGTGTGTCTAAATGGCCTGATTTTGTTTTTGCTATTGTGTTACACAAGCACAAGTTTTTTCTTAATGTGCCCAAAACCTGGCCCTCGAAGTTCAGGAAGCAAGCAAAATTTTTCTCCTTTTCTGAACTGTTGCACAGTCTTTTATTCTTAAAAGTGACCTGAAATGTTCATAGGAACAAGCTTTCTCATGATGTGAGACTTCTGGTATTTCCTGCTCCCAGTTTGGCTAGACACACCACAACAGTTGCTTTTCTCATGGTGTTTGGGTATGGTAGTTGTCTCTGCATGGAAGCCCTAGACCCAGATGCCCACAACTTTTAAGTCTCCCAAGTAATTGAGCCCAAATAAGGAATCAAATTTGGCAGATGGCCCCAACCTCAGTAACTGATTTGCTTCAGTCTGAAGGTGTGCAAGCTCAAGATGTAGAAATCTCAACTCTCAAATACTAGCATAGAACTCTAACAGGGAAAAAAAGAAAAAAAAAGCAGTGCACAGAAAAATTAAAATCTAAGTAAACAAAGCTGGAAATTTGTTAAACATGCCTTTGGTCCTGTTCTATGTTGGTGTCAAGATTTGTGAGAACATGTGAACTGTTTCAGTTCCAGTAGTATCACCCATCTGCTCCAAGTGGAGTCACCCTTTTACTGAATTCAGCAGAAGTTGAATTAGTCTGTAATTTAGGGAAAAAGTGAAACAACTTTTTCTGTTGCCTGCCTTTGGAATGGGATGCAATGGTTTCTGCTTCTGTGCTAATCAATCTTTGTTTTGGCATTAAAATTAGTAGGAGAGGGATTGGGCCCAAAAGCTGTGAAATGTTTCTGTAATATCTTAGTTTGCCATCTTTTTGAATACAGAAGCCAAGCTGTGTTAATGGTTTTCTCAAATGCAGACACATTATCATAAATCCTACTGGCTTCTGAAATGCTATTTCCCAGCCTTCTAAGTTTTAAACTATATTGTTTTAATACTAGTTTTCTCAGTTATTTCAATTAAGATGTAAGAGATATGACCCTCCCCAATGGACCTCAGGCAGCTGGAAGTGTTGGCTTTTTAAGGAGACTTAGAAAGGGCTTGATGAAAATCTCAGCAAAGGAAATCCTATGCTCTCAAAATCCCAACACAGACATCCTGGCATGTGAAATCTTGCACCGATTAACATAGCTGGTTTCAGTATCACCCTGACTGGGACTAAAGGGTTAGGAGATTGCTAACAAGCAGCAGAGAATTCTGGTGGGAATATGATCACTAGCTACAATCCTACCCAGATTTGGGAACACCCAAAAGATGTTACTGTCTGATGACATTCGTTAGGATCAAAGAATAGCCCTGGTTGTCTCAGCCCTGTCCCTAGAAAACTGTAAGCTATTCCTTGAGGCTTCTAGTAATAATGGCTTCACTTGTAGCAGTTACAACATCATGGCCAAAGAATGCATGGCCGTGGAAGCTGAACTCCCCTCTTGTCCATCAGGGTGCTAAAGCCCCATTGGCAGGGGAGGGTGAGAAAAATCTGCACCGCTGCTGCCTGTTCTCAGGACAGAGGAAATGACTCTGTGGGTTGTGTCCAACATCCTTCACCAGCAGCAAATTTGTTCAAGTAATTTAACCATCCTGTACTCATGTACAGTGTGTGCCACCATGGTATTGTCTGTCCTATCAGTTTCTGTGAGCAAACAGCCTGGCCTCAGGTAAAGTCAGAGACTGACTTTGGGACTTAACTCAGCAGCAGCCTAATTCAGTACCTTGGGAGGATCTTGACTATGAAGACTGAACTCATCCTTTGTTGGTAAAGATATTGCAATTCCAGAAGTTGCTCTTTGATGAGGAAGGATAGATATTTCATTTGATTTGAGGGCAAGGGTGTGTTCTAGATTTTTATTTCAAGGTGCAGCTTAGGAGAGCATAAAAGCAATATTTTTGCAGACATGTGACTTGTGGAAGATCTTTTTCTTTCTAGTTAGCAAATGGGATAGCAACAGGCTTCCAAGGGACAAAAGTATTTATTCTCTAAAGTTCTTCATATGAATTCTTCACAGAAGGTATTTCTAGCTTGCCTGGTAGAATCTTCCTCCAACATGGTAGAGCTGGGGGAAGCAAAGAAATATTTTGGAGGTAAATGTTTCATCTGCTGCTGTTGAAAGTTTATTTTTGCAGGTAGTCTTAACTAGCTGAGTGAGAATGTTTCTACCTGAGGTTAAAGAACTTTAATCAGTCCACTTTGAGCTCTTAGCAGCATCTAGCCATGACTCAACCTGCTGATATAAGGCCTTCTGTGGTACTGACAAATGCTCAAGCTCGGAACTGGGAAGGAATAGTGAAGAATTAAATCCACGTACTAAATATACTTGATTACTATGAAGTATCCTAGGGCAAAGCTTTGTAAGGATAAAGGGAATTTTTGCTCTAGTGTTTTCCAGTGTTTGAATCTTCATAGGATTAAATATTCATGGCTGGTAGCACTACCCATGACTAGCCCCTTGTAGGATTGTGCTTTCTGTCAGGGTAAATTTTATTCTGATATAAAGATAATTTTTTTGTTTGGCCATTATTCTTACAACACCAAAGTATCCATCTGCTATAATACCAAAAAGATCATGCACTTTGTCAAGCAAGATGGACAATCAGTGGTGGTGATGTGCTGTTTTTATTGCACCAATGCCCTAAACCTTGTAGCAAGAGTGTCTTGACAAGCTTAGACCCAAAGAGTTTGCAACCCAGAATCTCAAGAGGTGACAGGTGAAAGATGCTGCAGCAGGAGGGAAGAGGGTTGGGATGCAGTTGCAGAATGAAGCAATGTGGTAGCATAGTCCCCACAGCCGTAACAAATTTTCACAGAGGACTCATAATGTTATACAAGATGCTTTGATTTTGAATTCAGATCAGGACAGCAGAGTGATGGTTGAACACAGTTTAGAGCTTTACAGACTACTTCTGCCATAAAGCAAATAGACATTTTGAAGACAGTTCCCATGAATACCAAGAAATCTGTGTTTCTCAGCTTTATTTAGAATGCCTCATTGTGACTCCTTTTTGTTTTTTGTTTGTTTGTTTGTTTTTGTTCTGTGATTTATGGTATCTCCTGAACAGGTAAAAGATGACAAAGAAAAAGCACCTAAAGAGGAAATGAAAAGTGTCTGGGATCGTAAGAAAGGTGTTCCTGAACAAAAAGCACAGAATGGAGAACGTGAACTCACTGCTCCAAAACTTAAACCTACTGAGAATGCTTTTGGGTAAGTTCCAAGTAAGAACTGGGTTTGCTTGTGTTGTACAGAACAAGGGGCCATCTCTGGGTCTCTGCTTAATAACCTTGTGGCAGCTGAATAGAGGAATTGGGTTGGCAACACCAACAGAGGCTGAGGCATCCATTGGGTTGTAGGTATGTAGGAATGTAGTTTCTGATGAACAGCAGTCACGTTGTTGCAGTAACAACATGAAGTACAGAAAGCAGATGGAAATATCCTTACTCCCTTGGTAGAGACAAGGACCTTCTTTTTGCTTTGCTGAGGTTTTCCTTCCTCTGCACAGAGGCCAATAATGCCAAACCCCCAGATTTTGTGTTCTCTAATTTTTTAACTCAGACCTCAGACTCTACTGAAGTAATCTATTTCCAATTACCCACCCATTTTTAATTAGGATCTCCATAGCAGAATGAAGCACAATCCAGTTGGTAACTCTTGAAAGAGCTTCTCTCTTGATTTCAAGGCAAACCTTGAAGTTAATGGTTTCTCTAGAAAAGTGGGTTTTTTTTCAGTTAGGTGAAAACCTCTCCTGGCCAAAATGTTGAGTTTGGTTTGGTTGGTTTTGGCTCTTTTTTTGGCTTTTTATAAGCATTGTCACAGTTTGATTTTTGTTTTTCATTGTAAGGAAATATTTGCCTTGTGGCTAAATTGGGAAATTCAATGAACTTAAGAAATTTCTCATGAAATTTTTTTAAAAAGGATCCTGCCTCCTAAAGGCAGGGGATACATGAAGAAGAAATGAAGTTCTTCCTTTTTCTCAAAAAACCAAGACTGAGTAGGTTAGAAATCGAAGTTTTTCTCCTTCTGCATCTTTTTTCCTCTTTTACATTGACAACAGGCAAAGAAAAGGTTAAGCTCTCCAGGCACTTTGAGAAATCTGTGCATGGCAGATGGGATTTGGTATTGTATCACAGCATTCCCCTCATGATTCTTCCGGGAAAAACAAACTTTCTCAAAATAAAATGCAGTTCAAAAAGACCCTAAGGCCAAAAGACAGACAGAATTGTATATGGAATAGCAGGAAATTGGCTTTGCTCAGAACTGTCCTGCGTGGGTCACACCACCAATAACATGGGAATGGTGTTCTAAAAATATTTCTGTTGTGTTTTCATTTGCTTGACTTCCTGTGGGAGACAGACATCAGTAGCAACATGGAGATTTGAGTTTCCACTCCTTTTATTCTATTTCTGTTTTTCTACTACTGTTTCCCAAATGTGCCAAGAAGCCTCTTTAATAACCTTTTAGCAGCTGAGTAGAAGACCTGGGTTGGCAACATCTGCAGAGGCTCCAGCATTTGTTGAGTTTTTAGGTATGAATTAGGGCTCCTGGCCTATTTTCTAAGGACCTGCACCCACAGTGTTGGGCTTTGTTAGGAAATCTTCTTTCTTCTTTTTTTTTTCGTTTTTAGGTATGAATTAGGGCTCCTGGCCTATTTTCTAAGGACCTGCACCCACAGTGTTGGGCATTGTTTGGAACTGTTCTTTCTTCTTTCTTTTTTTCTCACATGAACAGGTCAGATACTAGTTAAAAAGAATGTAACTTGGCTAACTCTCCACGGTGAGGACTGAGAACAGAATAAGATAGCACAGGCAAAAGAAAAATTTTCTCTGTGTCTTTTTTGTTATGTCAGTCAGAAAGAAATACGGAATAAACTCCATTTTATGGCTTCCCCTTCCCGTCTCCCCTCCCACCTACCTTCTTCCCTATTCTCATACAGGACTGCAAAAGCCCTAAATATGCTGTAACATGTTCTTTCACATTGTTCTGACATTTTTGGCTCCCACAAACCACTTCTTTCCTTTTCCTCCTTGTCTGAAAGCTGGCAACCAACTTCATATCGTAGACCAAAGAGCTGCTTACAAAACTCTTCCTCCACCCAGCACCTCAATCCTCATTTTCCAACGCCGACAGTAGGGAACAGAGGTTCCCAGAATCTGCTGAAAACTGAGGAGCTGGAGGTAGAGAAAAGTCAGGAGAATTACTGCCACTTTATTGTTTGCTATTTTGGATTATGCAGAACCAGTGGGGGAAGGCCTGTGAGCAGCATGAGAATAAAATAAGCTGGCAGATTTAAATGTCCTTTGTAAGGAAGCCAAAATAATCACCTGAGGTCTCCAAACAAAAATGTTAAGACTAGATTGGCTTTTATCAGTTGAAAGCTGAGAATAGCTAATTTCATTGAGGCTATCTGCACTGAAGTTACTGAGGACTAACATTTCTTCTGTGCTGATATAAAACAAAGTGGGTATTTATTAAGAGAATCTTGGCAAATGTTACAGTCTTCATTCTCTTAATTCTGAAGGCTGAGTATTTGCCCTTGCCAAGGAGATCATTATGTTTATCAGAAGTGACCTCTTACATCTATTTTGGGCCCAGAGCTTCCAGGTCTTGATGGGCTGGTAACACAGACTTCAGAGAACAAGAGGTAAAGTAAAAAACCACCCCAAAACCCAAACAAAAACCAACCAACCAAAAAAACCAAACTCAAAACCCAAGAGGTTCCTGGGCTTGTTTGCTACAGAGGCTACAACCTTGCAATGAAGCAGGACAGCCTTAAGATAGCCAGAGGTTTCTCATGTCCTGTGCAGGATCTTTGGGAATACTTATTGCCTTATAGAGGAACATTCTGGGTTCTCAGCAACTCTGCAAACTGAATCAGAGGTATATCATGATGGACACCCAAAATGATACCTCACACCTCAGATATTGCTCCTCATTTTGTTTTTGAATGGGCTACGTGAAATTTCAAATGAAGTTTCCAATGTTTTCTAGCAATGCTTTAGTTAATTGTGTATGTGTTTTTCATTTTAAAATGTGTTAGTTCATTTCTGGTATTTGTACCTGATGCAAGCCCTTATTTGTGACCACTTAAATTAACTTGACACTTACGATAGTGACATTGCAGTTCTACTCTTATAGTGTAAATGATTACAATGCAAAAATCCCATGCAGAAATAGGACATGGAACAGAAAAGGATTGAGATATCATGATATTAGGGAAATATAAATTATATACTTGTAACTCTAGGTTGGAAAATCAGGCAGAATGTACTGGGGATACACATATTCACAGGTCTCTAGGGCCTTAGCTTTAGCTTTGCAATGTTAGAGTCTTGCATAGAAAACACTTTCTGAAACCAAGTAAATATATTGCAAATTAAATACCACATGCTGCTTCCTTAGTACTGAACTGGAACAGATGAAGTTACCTATTTCACCACGTTTTTTTAGTGATACAATGCCTAAATCATGCATGCCACACTAGAATCAAATTTCATCTGAGTTGGTAAGATGATGTGGGGGCAGAGAACTCTATTAGTAGATTCTATTATGATATCAAAGCCACAAATAATTCAGTTGTGTTCCTATAGCTTGTTTTAGATGGCTAACTCCATCTGGATGAGGCATCTCTCTGAATGAAGGGCACCTCTGCAGGCTTGGAGTGATTCACTGGATTGGAAATTTATATGATATTTGTTCTTCATGTTTTTCATCTCTAATCTGATCATCTCTAACAGTTATTGTTATTGTTGGAATGCCTGATTTGTACTGTCTTGTGGTATTATACTTTGCAACACTCTGGTTGCAATTAATATCCAGATGTTTTAGATGTTGACACTGTTGAAAGTATGCACTTCACCTATTCAAATTCCTTGGGTTTGGGTTTTTTTTTGTTTTGTTTTGTTTTAATTCTTCCTTTGTGTCTCATATATTATGGCCGGTTAGAAACTTCTATTTTTCTCCTTTGAAAAGAAATATATAATTTTCAGTTCCTTAATAAAATGTCATACTTTCCCTAGAAAATGTGAGAAAAAGACCTGATGAATCTATCTGTTCATACCTGGTGGGATAGTCAGTGATATGTGTTATAGATGAGATAGGAACCTTTTTAGGTTGAAGCTGTAAAATTCCTTCCCCTCTCTTATTTCTCTCTGTTTTTCCCAAGTCAAATAGTTTCTTTTGTCCCCAAAGATGCTTGCCTTTTATTCTAAAGGGTTTATAAAAACTATTTGCCTTTGAAAGCAAAGGATTAGTGCATCTTTTATTGCACAGAACATAGCATAATATTTTTGCTATGAGGATTTTGTACGTAAATTTATCCGATTTAAGGACAACAGCGAGGAGTTAATCATGACTTTATGTTGCTTTATTTTTCTGAATGAAGTGCAATATCCTTTTGGGAGTGTTTCCTCTGTACACAAGCTGCAGAGCAGAGTTGTGGAACTGTAGCAGTTTGCTGTGTACCACAGAGATGCCGATGAGATGTGACACCTCTTACTGAAGCTACAAGAGATGTTAAATATTTCAGCCTCAGTTACTGAATTCTCCTAAAAATGGAGGTGGCACAAGTTCTCAGGCAGAGTGGTGCAGCTCCTGTGTACACAAATATGTGAGACTCCTTCCTCACTGGCAGTGGATGGGAGAGGTGTTCCTTGTGGTATCAATCAAGGTGCTCCTTGTAGTATCATCAACTCCTGATGAAAATGTTTGGGGTTGGTCATAGTTGCGATGAGCAAAAGGTCTTATAAAGCAATATCTTTGAGTGCCAGGCTCTGTTGTTGGTGGAGAACAGTGATGGGCTCTGGCCAGGGAGGGAAAACCCATGGTGCATCACCTTCCCTTTCGTTTCTTTCCCAGCCGCTCTGGTTTGAAAGGGACTGCAAATGCTGAAGAAGCCAAGCCAGGAGTGGAGGCTCTGAAACGACTAGAAGATCAGCGTCGCCGCCGAGGAGAGAGTGAGACAGAGGAGCTCGAGAAGCTCAAGGAGAAGCAGCAGGAGGCAGCAGCAGAGCTGGATGAACTGAAGAAAAGGAGGGAGGAACGCCGGAAAATCCTGGAGGAAGAGGAGCAGAAGAAGAAGCAGGAGGAGGCTGAGAGAAAAGTCAGAGAGGAGGTGAGTGTAAAGTATGAAGTATTGGGTTTTATTCTGTTGTTGCTACTTTACTTCCACTGTCCTTGAATTTGCTGATAACTATTCACAGTGTTGTCTGCAGAGACACTACGAGGCAAAAGAAGGTGGTGGGGCTGAAGGATGATGGGTCTGTATGTAACAGAGGGGCAGAATGAGGCTAGGAGAGACTGGCTCATAGGTGAGGAAAAAGCATGTAATAAGGAAGGCAAGACTGAACCCAAACATAAAGGCCAAAGGTGCTTCTCATTCTTAGGTCTGCTTTTGCTGCATGAGGATTTACTGCTGTGGCTTTGCTTTAAATTGAACCCTTTATCTGGGCCCTCTGGGTTTTGGGCTCTTCTGGGCACTGCTGTGCCTTAGTGCCTAAGAGGAGATGGTCTGTTGCAAGAGGCCTTGATTTCAAATAGGCTACCCAGCATAAAAATCACCCTGTTTTCTAACATTCAGGTTTAACTGCAAGTATGCTATATTTGATATCAGAGAATCACAGTATATTCAGAGTTGGAAGGGACCCACGAGGATCATCTAGTCCAACTCCAGGCCCTGCACAGGACATCCCTGAGAGTCACCCCATGTGCCTGAGAGCATTGTCCAAACACCTCTTGAGCTCTGTCAGGCTTGGGGCTGTGCCCACTGCCCTGGGGAGCTGTTCAATGCCCAAACACCCTCTGGGGGAAGAAGCATTTTCTAATATCTAACCTAAACCTCCCCTGACAAAACTTCACACCATTCCCTTGTGTCCTGTCACTGATTGCCAGAGAGATCAGACTCCTCTAGGCTGAACAGACCAAGTGACCTCAGCTGCTCCTCATATGGTTTCCCCCTAAGGCCCTTCACATAGATGCTCCAGTGAAGCCCTGAGGTAAAACATTCAGTCATCCAGGGTAGACCAAAAAATGTTACAATTCTAGCCTCAGGAAAGACAGGGCTTCAATATGTTTTCACAAGTCAGGATTTAATCTGTAATAGTCACAAATTTCTTATCTTCTTGGGGATGCAAAATGTTGGGTGCAGTGCTATAGCCACAGAGTTCCTAATATATTCAGGGTGTCTTTTTGACATTACACAAATTGAATTACAAATCATATGTCAAAATTCATCTGCTGCTGAGGAGCTGGAATGCTAATGTAATATATAGTCATGATGGGCTAGATCTCATTAGGGAGATATTTGTGTCTATTTAAATATTGAGTACCAAACACATCTGTTTTCTTGTACTTCCTCTGCCAAGGGACTCTACAAATAGGATTTCCAAATTTCTGCTGCATCATTTAGGCATCTTAGTTGTTTAGTATACACGAGGTAAATGAATATTAATAATAATAATATCTGGCAGATGAATGCCAGTTCCTTTAATATACTGAACTCTTTACAACAGAGCACAATAGATGTCAGAGTTGCACAATATCTTGCTGGGCACACCTCACTACCCAGTGCTCACAATGGTGGTGCTTTGAGGGCTTCTGGTTTGACTTGTAGCTTGTGAAGTAAAACTCACCTTTTTGAAAGGAATCTTTGGTTTTTCAGGCACCTATTGATTTTCCCTTGGGAAGTATTAACCTTGGCACAGAGTAGATGGACAGAAGAGCTTGTCTTACTATGATACATGAGAATACAGAAAACCTGAATTTGAGTCTTTATATAAAAGTGCTTTTTCCTCTCTTTAAGTGGCACTATCTGACAATAGGTTTTGTGAATTTTCTGTGCAGAGACATAAAAGCAGCACAGACTAGCTGTCTTCCTGACATTCTTAATGATGTGATGGAATAGCTTTAATATGTTGATAGATTTCAGACAGGTCACTGAACCTTTTTGACTGGCATAAAATTCTGTTCTTAGAAAATCTGGCAAAAGTTTGCAGGATTGCACAGTGCTGTAATGGTGATGTAGTTTCTGAAAGAATAAGTGACCATTCCTATTTTTCAAGGAGGAAAAGAGGAGGATGAAGGAAGAGATTGAAAGAAGAAGGGCTGAAGCTGCTGAGAAACGTCAGAAGATGCCAGAAGATGGTGTATCAGAAGACAAGAAGCCATTTAAATGTTTCAGTCCTAAAGGTTCATCTCTCAAGGTAACATCCCCACTAACATCTATACAGTACAGTGCAGAAATACTTGAAATCAGACCTAGGAAAATGCTTTGACAGACTTCAGCCTGAAACCTTTAGCTGAAAGACTTCATTCACTGGGATGATTGAAAATTAGAGAATCTTTCTGGAAATAGTCGATGATTGAAAATTAGAGAATCTTTCTGAAAATAGAGTTTAGACTGGGAGTTTTCTATTCTTGTTGATGAAAAATGTCAAAAAAAGGATCTTCACCTTCAAGAGAAAATTATTTTGGAAACTTAGAACTGTATGACTGTATTTTTGTTCAATGTTGATTTGTTATAGGAGTGCTTTGTGAACTGGAGCAGAGTCACAGAAATTATTTTGGAAACTTAGAACTGTATTACTGTATTTTTGTTTAATGTTGATTTGTTATAGGAGTGCATTGTGAACTGGAGCAGAGTCATAGGATCATTTAGCTTGGAAAAGGCCTCTAAGATCATCCAGTTGCAAATATTCTCTCACTCCTTCCACATCCCCAATTATTTTCTTCCTTGCCAGATTTCTTTGTTGTTAAGTATATTCAACCTAAACATCATTCATTGAAACTGACCCATATTTGAGTTCTAGTTTATGTCTAATCCCCCTAAAAATAACATCCATAGTACTAGGCTGGTTTTCATTTTCTTATATAACAAGAAAACAAAACCAGCCTTCTGTTGCTGCAGGACTATGCAAATGGTCTTCTGTGGCCTACATTACATTGGAAGTGAGATAAATCAATGAAATGATTTCCACTTGCACTTTGATCTGATCTGGATATTCAGGTCTGTACTGTTTTGGGTCCAGTTCTAGCAAATACAGTGTCCAAATGCTTGTGAATGGACTTGCCTTTGAATTCTAAGACACATTTGGACCTGAAACACTGGGACAAAATACATACAGCTGCAAAGGAAGATTGCCAAGCTTCACAATTTGCTCCTATTAGATAAATCTAGTCTTGCCATTTTGGTTGCTAAATATCATGTTAAAACCAGATACTATAAATACTTCTTCCCAGCCCTCCTGGGAGGGCTTCCTTTTCTTTTTTTCCATTTATTGAGATGTCTTTTCTGACATACACTTGGAGCTTAATTCCTAGAAAGCTCAGAATAGAGAAAATTATACTTGAAAACACCAAATAGAAAGCTATAGATCATAATTTTGGGGAAAGTGGGAAACAACACTAGATTTGGCAGGAGGTTTATAGCTTTCAGATAACGTTTGAACAGCTGCTACACAATTCTACTAAGTAACTTTAGAGGAAAGCTGAAATTTTCCAAATGTCATTAAGCATCCAAGATACAATATGTTTTTTAATTTTCATAATTGCTGCTGGGTTTTTTATGGCTTGTTAGGTAGAAGTTTTTTGTCACAAAACCTAATATCTGCAACTCTGCACATATTTTCTGTTTCTCTGTTTCTCTCTCTGAGAAACCAGTGATAATGCACAGATTCCATTCCAGTGTCTGTGGGTGGCCAGAGTAGATATGTTCACACCCTGCACTGTTTCTTGGCTTTCTGTGGTCAACAGCTGAGGAGAGAACAACCTCAATTTAATAGCCTGGTGTGAAATTTGATATCAAAATCCAGTTATTAGAGCATAGTATATTTTGTTACATTTAATTTGGACACACTACTCAGGCTGGTCTAACCTGGTTGGTACACAACTCTCATTGCCTATTACTTACTGCTCAAGTTATCTTTTGACTTGTAAAGCATCTGGCACATGGTTTCTCCCTTGATGAATATATCATCCCACTAGATGTGGCACAAATCATGTGAGAACCCCAAATACACAATTGGGGGTGGGTGGTTGGAATTAATAATGAAGAAAGGGAGGCTTAGTCTAAAAATACCATATGGTAAATATGCACATTCTGACTTCCTCGAGATCACAATCTGGCAAAGCATTTTTTTCCCCTTTCCTGTCCTTCTTGATGTGTTAAGTTTTCAGGAAAAATGCAGAAGTTCCTGGGAGTGCCTTAGGTGAGGGAAGTAAGGCATGCTGATCCTGGGTGAACTACAAGAACAAAGGAAAGAAGGGACATAAACTGAGAAGCAGCATGGCATATTGGCATCTTATGGGCTCTGCATCCATCCATCAGGCAGGGCATGGATAATCAGACTCCAAATTGAGCTACAAAGATCTGCAACTTCTCTCCACATATTCCATGGCTCATGCTTGCATAGATGTATGTATGCAAACATGGACATAACATACATACATGCTTATATTTAGAAAGACCTTCTATGAATATTATCTAGACTGGCCTCTAATAAATCACAGCCTGCACAGTGTTGACAGTTGTTTTAACTGTTATATACAGTATTTCCCTGAAACCTGAGATGCAAAGCTACTGCAGCATAGATTCCTCCCAGTGACAGCATGAGGACTGGTCCTTTCTGAAGGGACAGTGAAGAGAAAGCATGCAAAGCAAACACAGGCCAAGTTCATCACTATCTCAGGGATGAAGCAACTTGGATTTCTCAGGGCTGGGTGGAGTCCCTGTGGGCAGAAGCAGTACCAAACCTCTGTTCAACCTCTGCCCTGTATCTTGTTATTTTTTGAAATGAGGACAGATTCTGGAGCATCTTTTCCTGCTCTCCCATCTGACTCTAGCTTGTGCTTTCCCTGGTTTTGCTCATGCAAAGGATGCTGCACTCAAAGAATGAGATTTCCTGAATAATCTTTGTTCATTTTGCTTTTTAGACAAGTTCATTCCTCATGTTTTTTTTTGAGAACGAGCATTACTGACTTCTTGTGTAACTACTCACTAGGTTAATCAGGGGAGAACAGGATATTTCAATACCAAGTCTCCTGTTGGTTGTGAATTCCACCACTACAGAAAGCAATGCAGGAGACTGGAAGATCATCTGTCTTTGGAGAAAATGTCTCCCAGCACTTTCTGCAAGGCAATGCTGACAGCTAAGCCAGAAGATAGGACTTTTTTTTCCTTAAAAACCTGCCTTGTCCTATCTCATTATTGCTCTCAGTACCTGAGAGCTGGAGCAGTGACCGGAAAGAATGAGACTCCACACAATCACTTCTTCCTACATGAGCTCCTCTTGCAGCAGAGGGAAAATAGAGTGTTAAGAACAGTATTTGTAATATTTGTTTTCCTTCATCTTTGATGCTGATGGCAGCACTCTAGTCTGGTAGGTAAACTGGACTAAATTGGCACAATTTGCTCAGATGTTGCTGACAGCAGGAAAAAGCATAACTGAGCTTAATGAAGTGAAAGAGCATGTGAGCCACTCAGGGAGGATAAGGAGAAGCCTTTCTACTCACAGGGGCTAAATTGATTTCCACTAGGATCTTCCACATGCTGGATATGAAGGAAAGCTATAATAATACAGGGGTTTCTGTATGCATTATTTATTCCCCTTCCTCTCTGATCGATTTTTTAAGAAGAATTTTTCTATATCCCAGCTTACAAGTTTCTTTTGCATAGTATCTAATACACAGTTTAGAATTCCTAAGACTTGTTTAATACCTTTGTAGGAAACAAGATTTACTGGAAATACTGATTTTTTTTTGATTTTTTTTTTGTTTCTCAAATCATTGTCTCATGTTTTAACTCATTCTTTTTCCAGTCTGTTTCTGTTCTTGAAGCAGGTACAGATGGAAGACAGAGCCCTTTGACACCCACACTTCAATTGCCCTTTTAGTTGGCAAGAGATTTCTTGCACAATCAGCAAACAAAAGATGTCTGTATGATATTGAATGTGGATAAATGCATATGTGTATCTCTATAACATCTTGCTGAATTTACTTTTTGCCACCTGTGTGTGCTGCCCCCTTTGAATAAGGCCCTAACCAGCTGTGAGGATCCATGTGGGTTTGGATTATGTCCAATTGTTTCATTTCATCTAACTTTACCAGCAGAAGGACAGGTATCCATCTAGGAATTTTGATATCCAATCTAAGCTTCTTTGGTGGCTAACAAAGCAAGAACCACTCCCAGCAGACAAACAGTCCAAACTAGGGTGAGGTGAGTTTCTCTGCCTCTCCACTGATTATAGACAGAACCAAAAGGAGTAATTTTGGCTAACTGCTTAACTTTGAAGCAGCTGAGGTTAGGTGGGAGAGATGCAGCCTGTTCTTTTTCTCTGGTCATAATTTAAGTAGTTGGCAGGTTGACTTTTTTTGTGTATGTGTGTGTTCTGTGTCAGAGGCTTTGGTGACAAAATATAGTCAAAGCTGTTTAACAAGAGCCTGTTAAAACGTATGCAGCAAAAAGATTATTCTTACTTCCTAGTTTCAAATGGAGAAAATATCTTGCTTTTTGTGCTAACCACTTTGCTTTGCCTGTTTCTCTTACAGATCTATTTTGTAATACTCTTTACTGTATGTGGCAAACATTTTAACTTCTTTGCATGGAGTTTGTGTGGTGTGCAGTGGATAAATGGCCTTTAGATGTTGCTGTGCAGTCTAAATGTATTTGACTTTATGTTGAATGCATGTGTGTATACAGCTGTGTGTGTTTTAAATATATTCAGTGTGTGCTTCTGTTTCATGCACACCATGTTTTGAGGAAGATGCTCTAGAACAAACTCTCATATAAATGTGCAGAAAATGTGTTATCCCTGCACACAAGACATCTGGCTTTGTCAGCCAGAGGACTTTGTTGTTTCCTTACTCTTCTTTCCTGTTTATTTTCCTCATTCTCCTGTTCTGAACAATCCCTGACTTAGTCCTGCTACCACAGCAGGTGCTTTGAGAGCTGCTGTTTGCAGTGGGTAAAGAATGACCTCACTTTTTTGTGTTTTTACTACAACCCCAAGAACATGTCATGCTTCCCTCCCAGTTATCCCTCTCTTCCACCAGTGCCTACTGAAGCTGAGAACATCTCTCCTACCTACACACAGGAGACTATGAAGAGTCTACTGCTTGCATCTCACCAGAAATGTCCCTTTTGTAATATTTCAAGTGGATTTTCAGTTCATTACCCGAAATAGATGATGCATAAATGAATTATCCAACGATTACCTTGAGCCCTGGTTCTTTGAGATGCTCCTTGCTGCCAGCCAGGGTTTCACTGATGCAGGCAGGGACAGAGCAGCTCTTGCTGGTGTAACTCACAGTTTTGATGCACTGCTGGTTAGGATCTAGAAATCAGCATTGAGGGAAAGTTTTAATCAGCTTTTAAGCAATTGATTTCCTTGGTGATTTAATGGCAATGCTGGTGGTGTTTCCTCTGGTTCTTTGAGATGCTCCTTGCTGCCAGCCAGGGTTTCACTGATGCAGGCAGGGACAGAGCAGCTCTTGCTGGTGTAACTCACAGTTTTGATGCACTGCTGGTTAGGATCTAGAAATCAGCATTGAGGGAAAGTTTTAATCAGCTTTTAAGCAATTGATTTCCTTGGTGATTTAATGGCAATGCTGGTGGTGTTTCCTGCGGGTGAGCCAGTGACTCTTCTCTTTACCACAGGCGAGCTGATGCTTCTGTTGGTGTCCTGCTGCCACCTTGTGCCATCAGCTCTCTGAAGCAGTGCCGACCTAGCCTAGCCAAGCCCAGCTTTCCACTCAGGACTGGTTTTGGATCCTATATTGGCAACTAAAACTGTTAACATAAATCACTCTGTAAATTGTATATATATATCTCTCTAAATATTTAGAGCTTTGGAGGTGCCTTTGAGCTGGCTGGATGCTAACTGGAGTTCCTCCAGTGAGCTTGTTTGGCAAATTCTGCACTGAAGTGAACTGCCTTTTTGCTTATAAAGGCTTGAGAAATAAACCATGCATGCCCTTTGGTGGGATTTAGTATTCTGGTAGAGCCTAGATGCTAAAGGCACTGAGGAGACCCATGTAAAGAAATGGCTCACATTGCCTTATTTTAGAGGCATAAGTGCCACACCAGTCACTGTTAAAGTAAATTCATAGAATCATAGAATTTTAGGGGTTGGAATGGACCTTAGAGATCATCCAGCCCCAACCCCTGCCCTGGGCAGGGACACCTCCCACCAGAGCAGGTTGCTCAAGGCTCATCCAACCTGGCTGTGAACACTGCCAGGGTTGGGGCAGCCACAGCCTCCCTGGGCAACCTGGGCCAGTGTCTCACCACCCTCACAGGGAAAACATTTCTCCTAAGATGTATCCTAAATTTCCCCTCCTTCAATTTGAGTCAGTTACTCCTTGTCCAACTGAAAATGGAGAACCCCTACTAAGACTGGGTAATCCCCAGGAATCCAGCCAGGCTAATTATTAGTGATTTCAATCCCCTGGAGTTACATGCATACATTTTATTTTTAAGTGTAACCTAGAGCCTGGGATGAGAAATGGAACAATGCAATGTGGAAGAGAATTGAGGAAGCTTGATGAAAGTATTTCTTGACCCAGAATTCAAATAGACACATAGACACATACACACACCCCTGTTGCAAAACGTTTTAAAACTTTGTTAAGGGATGGAGTCTTTTAGTTTTCAAAATATTGAGAGATTTGACCTAACTCATATGAGACTTTTGTGATTCTTCTTCCCTGGAAACATGACAATATTTTCCTGTACACAGAGTAGAAAATGATGATGAAATGTAGGATACCAGTTTGTATAATAACTGCTGGTAGATATTGGCTCAGCAGTGACTCTGCTTCAACATGAGCAGAGTACAGTCTGGTAGTTTTTTTGGAGCTCAGATGAAATCATTAGTGTCCTGCAAAAACATGGATGAGAGAGGGTATGTGGCTGAGCTCCAAACCTGGCCTAGGCTGGTGTCTCAGCTCAGAAAAACTATTACATTTGCTGTTGTCTCAAGAGATACATACTTGCTGTTATGTGGCAGATGAGGATGACATGGATTTTTGTGCATATCAACTCTTTCATAAGATAAACTTCTTCCCTTTTCTCCTTTCTGTGCTGGTTGTTCATTCCCTTGTTACAAATGAAGTCCTGAAGAACTCTGTAGGATGAAAAAGTTCCTGCATAAAAGATATCCACCTTTATGAATCTGTAGCATAATAGGCTCCTCTCTATAAAACCTCTGTGTGTGTCTGTGATGATTTCTGTTGGAATGTAGCTCTTTCAGATTGACTTTTTGACATTTAAAACACATTTTAGCCTGGCCTTGCACAGGCTGCCTTCTTATTGACTTTGAACTTGAAGCTTTTGTTTCTCTCTTTTCTAGATAGAGGAGCGAACAGAATTTTTGAACAAATCTGCTCAGAAGAGGTAAAGCAAAGAAACAGTAAGCTCAGTCCAAACAGCAATGCTTAATTGGAGGGAATAATAATCTCTTTCTCCCTTTTCTCTCTCTTTTCTACTTCCTGCAGTGGAATGAAGCCCACCCAGACAACAGCAGTTGTCTCAAAGATTGACAGTAGACTTGAGCAATACACTAGTGCAATTGAGGTAAGTTAATTCCAGGTCACAATGGATCTAATTATGAATGGCTTTTGGGCTTTTAATCAACCTATGTTTTACTGTTCAAGAATTGCTGGGATTTTTTGGTCGCAAACTCTTCTTTAACGTGATTTAAGGAACAAAATGCTTGAGGCACACCTAAAAACAACATCTAGATATGTACCTAAACAAAACCTCAGATTTGTGTCTTCCCTTTCATGCCACAATTTACTCTGCTTTGTAAGCTTGGAGTAGCTCTTGCAGGACTCAATCAGCAGCTCCTGTGTGCCAGTTGCATTCTCTTCCTGGCTGATGAGAGTAGTATAAGTACAAAAAAAATGTAGAATTTGACTCCAGGTGTTTTTGACAACTAGTGGTTAATAATGTGCCTAGGAGCCAGAATTGAGGGCTTTTTCTCTTCATAGTCCAAGGGAAAATAGAGTTTGGTTTTTTTGTCCTTCTGGGGATTTTAGCTGTTTTTATAAATCATTGAGTACAGGCAATATGAAAACTATGAGTTACTATAGCAGGTTTAGTGGATGTAGTGGTTGTCAAGTGTCATGGGAATAGGACAGCATACAAAAAGGATATGATCTTGATAGCTGTGACTAAGGTATAGCACTCCTTTCTTCCCTGGTGGATTTTTTTTTCTTCTCTTATTTGCATATAGAGTCTAAACATGTTATTTCATTAAGATGCTGATTGGTTGGGCTTTAATATCTTTTAGCTTAAAGAAAACTTTAGTCATTAAAGATAATTAACAAAGGCTTATTTTTCTGTGATTGCTGCCCCTTTAATCTTTCTACTAGCAAACCTATCAGTGCTGTAGAGTTTTATACTGTGTGTCAGTTCCCAGTAAAAACTGTGCAGAGATGACAGGACTTGCCTCTAGCACTTATGTCAAGTTGAAGGTAGCTCAAACCCCTCCATGAGAGATGAATACCAACACTGCACCCAGTAGTCCCTGTATCATCAAAGCAGAGACACAGAACTTCTGTCCTTCTGCTTCACTCCATGCCTTTTCTGAACAAGACAGAGCTTTGATTTGGCACTGGGGTTAAATGTTAAATTTATTAAAGAGAGTGAATGGATTGGAGGTACAGCTTGATCTGTCAGAAGAAATTTATGTACCAATGAAGTCAGTGTTTGTCAACCCATAAACATTGGACCAGCACATGCAGCAGCTTATATTAGGTTCTCCAGTCTTTTCAGTAGGGCTGTGCTCTATTCAGTTAGTGAACAGCACAGCTTTATGGTTGGGGAAGGCAATGTGGATTCACAGCCATGTGCAGCTCCCATCTGACTTGAAATATTTCCTTTGCAGAATTTCTGGTTATTCCAAAAGCTGTAAAATCTGACTTGCTTTGCAACTAGAGAGGCAAAGCCTCAGCTCGTACAGGTTCTTATGCTCAACAAATCTATGATGTGTAAAATGTACAAAAGGAAAAAGAAAAGAAGAAAGAGGAGGAATTTGGTCTGGTGTTTATAGTAACCATGCAAAAGATGCTGTCAAAAACCTAGATGAGCCAATTCCTCACTCTCTAAAAGAACACCTTATTCCAAATATACAGCAACTGCTGAAATTTGCTGCTAGAATCCTGTACTAAAAGAACACCTTATTCCAAATATACTGCAATTGCTGAAATTTGCTGCTAGAATCCTGTGTTGTGAGCTTAAGTTGTCTAGGTCAGATGGAGCAGAGTCTGATGCTGAATGACAGAGCTGCCTTTTTTGCCTGCCTCTGCATAAGGATTTCCTTAGCTGTGTCCCTAAGAGAGCCAGGCTTACAGGATGCAAGTGCTAAGACTTGAAAGAGTCAAAATGAAAGGCTTGGAGCAGTTGTGTGCAGAGCTATAGTTTGTCATGGGTTTTAGGAAGGTGCTAATTGCAAAAATATTAGCTACTGCAGTTGTGTCGAGGGTGCAACTGGAGATCATAAAGGAGAGAGATTCTCCCTGGCATTTTTGAGCTGGGTACTCCTTTACATCTTTGCATGACCAGTGCTAGAACCACTTACAGATGCTGCATTCCTCAGCACTGGTCAGAGTCAAACCACACTGCAATTCCAGCTCTTAATGCCAAACATCAACTGGCCTCAATTCTTTTCCAGGGCACGAAGTCTTCAAGACCAGCTAAGCCAGCAGCTTCCGACCTTCACGTTCCAGCTGAGGGTGTCCGTAATATCAAGAGCATGTGGGAGAAAGGAAATGTTTTCTCATCACCCTCTGGGGCAGGAACACCAAATAAGGTATGTGTTTAATTTAACATAGTGATTAGAAAGAATTATGCTATGGACCTGACCTTGCCATTCGTGTTCCTGTGAGTAACCCTGTCTGCTCCTGTTGACATCACTGATGAACAATATCCCAAAGGATCTTGAGGACCTCAGAAACCCACAAAATTGTGTGGCTGCAATATTGAGTATAATGGAAGAATGTAGTGACCTACTGAGCTAAGTTATGAGACATTCCAGAGCCACATCAGATATCTTAGACAAATATATCTGGGTAGTTCAAGCAGAGTACAAAGAAATTCTTTGTGTTGGGAAAAATTCTTTTGGGGGGCAGAGGAGGATTAAATAGGCAAGATACTGATGATGTTTTATAGATAATGCATAGAAGTATTTGTGAGACCTTTATCTTTTCTATGTTATTCCTTAAGGCAACATTATCTTTCTATAAATTGATGTGAGCGGATGAGCATTCATCATAGCCAAAAATATGAGCCAGGGATTGAAGTGGGTTATTACAGACAGTCATTAAATTTTAGTGGTTTATTCTAACCTTTTAAAGATTTATCTTAATGTTCTAAATTATAGGCCACTTAACTCCTCTATTGTGTGGGTTTTTGGAACAATTTTTGTTTAACAAAACAAAGAATGTAGACTTAGACTGGTGTTTCTTCTTCTATTAGGCTAAAGATTTTTTCTCCTTGGAATTATGACAGAAACAGTAGGTTTATGTCTAACATTTACTCCTGGGTTAGCAGCAAAGTGGAAATGATTTTGTCAGTCCACGTTTATCATGATTGAAGTCTAGAGGGCACTAGTACTGTGCAGTTCATAGGGACAATACCTTCAGAGCACACAGGATAACTGAGCTAGCCATGGACTCTATGAGGACCTCCATATTATGGCTTTGCTTTTAAATTTAAACCACGAAAAACATAGCAAAAGCTATTCTGAAAATCTTCTGATTAGATTTTACTATATTGCAGGAAACTGCTGGACTGAAGGTTGGTGTCTCCAGTCGTATCAATGAGTGGTTAACCAAGACCCCAGAGAGCAACAAATCACCTGCTCCAAAACCTTCTGTAAGTTAACTTGCAACAACCATCTCATCAGTAGGTGGGTTCTCTCCTCAGGCAGAGGTGGTGATGGTGCTTCCTCAACCAGCTGGTGGTCTTTGGAGAAACCTTGCTTCATGTCCTCTTGGAAGCTCACAGAGGCCTTCTGGCTGTTGACTCCTGGGTAGTCAGAAAAGGTGAAAATGAAACAGGGCAGTTCTCACCTTAAAGCTCATGGGTGCCCAAAAAGACAGTGCTCAGGGAACTGCTTCTCTGGTAGAGAAGGGCATTGATTTGCTACCTGTGAAAAGCTTACCATTAATTTAGAAATTATCAGTCATAGACCCTGGATGAAGTACTTGCCCTTTGATCCTTGCCCTGTAAAATCTTCCAAGTATATTTTAAAACACAACCAAAGTAATTTACTTCTTTATGACCCTAAATGTAATTTCTAGTGAAGGTCCTTTAGCATGTTCATTACTTCAGAAAGAATCAGAGCAGAAAATGCTATCAAAGTAATAAGATGGGAGTGTGGGAAGCAGCACTGTGCAGAAATAGGTAAGGATGGAGCTGTAAGTGCTAACATTGGAGAATGGCAGGGTATTGCTCATGGTGTTAATGATTCAACTTTAGGATTTTATTAAGGAACTGATTTCTTTCCATATCCTTATGGAAAGGATAGTGGTTTTCTGCCAGTCCAGTTACCCTTTATAAGAGGTGCAGCCTGAAAAATGCTTTCTCAATTCACACTCCTATTTGTCCCAAAGAGGAGCTTGAAATTTGCTGTGTTGTCTCTCATGTCAGTATTTACTGGTAGCAACATGGAGATTGTGCCCTTATGGATGTGAATATTAATTAAATACAATTAATTAAATACAATGACCAGTCATTGTGGTCATTGTGGTCATTGCATTTAATCAAAACTGCTGAAAACCAGCATAGAATTTGCCTCTAGATTTTTCTCGCTTTCTTTTAAGTTGCATCTTTTAGATAATGTAAAACTAACCTCTTGTTTTTCCCTCAGCCAACTGTTTCTATCTATGTCTTAATTTCCCTCTTTCTCAATAGATTGTTCTTTCTTCTTTCAATATCTCTGCTTGAAGGAACCTGCCCTCCTCCTATTCTTCTTTGAGGGTCTGTTTGCTAAGTTGGTCAGGTAAACCTGTTTATAATTGACTATGAAGAACAATATACATCTATAATGTGTGACTTTTATTTTCTTTTAACCAGGATAAATCAAAGGGAAACCTAGAATTTCTTAGTTGGCAAAGAACTTCCTAACCCCATCACATTCCACCAATATAAAGGAATGTTCATAGTTTTTGTGACCATCAAGATTCTTGTGGGTTTTGGAACAATATTGAATTCAAAGCAGAGGGAATAAAGATCCCAATTAGTTGTATGGTGAACCTAAATCACAAATCTCATATGATTTCGGGATTATGGAAGTGGTTTAGTAATAAGGTCCACTGCAAGTGGTTTTGTGAGAAGGTCAACTGCAATTTTATTGTTCTCTTCCTTCCTCTATTACTGCTGAACTAGGTTTTTGAAGTACAGAATTGTCTTCAAGTCTTAACCATTAGCAACTCACTGTAGCCACAAATTGTGATCAGTCCTAGAGGATTTCTGTTGGGTGAAAATATCTCTTGCAGAAATCCCATTCCCATTCATCACTGAGCATTTTAGAGTTAGAAAGCCTCATGTGCAGGAAACTGCCTCCCTATGAATGGCAAGAACAAGATTCTGGAAACCATGCAGGACTGGAATACTTTCTGAAGAGGAGAGTACTTCTGTCCAACACTGAGTCTCTTGTTTGCCATCCACAGAGGTACCTATCGATCCATCTGTCCTTAAGCAGGTGCATTGCAGTTAGCCTAGCCTATGTTGTTTTGATTTGTAGCCCTCCTTTTCCCCAGGAATTGATAGACAATGTAATATTCACCACTGGTGGATGTTCCTCAACTTTTCTTATGAGGAAGTTGCATTCTAAGTTTTTCTTGAACAGATTCAAATAAACCTGAACTAACGTTAGTTTATGTTCTCTGACATTCAAAACACAGGATTTAAAACCAGGAGATGTATCTGGCAAACGGAATCTCTGGGAGAAGCAGTCAGTTGAGAAGCCAGCTGCTTCTTCTAAGGTAACAAAATACCTCTTGGAGGCTTTCTAGGGGGAAGGTGTCATTCACTTTCATACAGTCAGCTGGAATTAGGCCTCTACATGTCTTCTGTTGCTAACCTGCCTTTTATCTATCAATGAAAGTGCAGTGATGTGCAGAAAAGCAGTGTATAACTTTTATATTCCTCTTTGGCAGAGCTGTGTTATGTGTAGTCCTCTGTCCTTTGCATGGAGTTGACTTTTTTCCTGTTAGAATTAGCAATGCTTTCCCATATTCAATTTTAATAATGGGTTTTCACTTTTGAAAACAGGTATCAGCTACGGGGAAAAAATCAGAGACTAATGGTAAGTAATTCTAACAAGGCACCTGCATGTGACAGGTGCATACATTGCACCTGTCTCTATATTGTAATGCATACTGAGTCTCCTGTTTGCCTCCTACAGAGGTAGTTATAATACATATTACAATACAGAAACATTGCCACGTTTTCACACAGGTGTTACTGTGTTTTCAAATTCTACAGCTGTTAACACTTATGCCAAAATAACCACTCTTTATGCTTTTGCCTTTCAAAAGCTCCATTACAATATCATCAAAACATGAATGTTTGAGAAATAAACCTAAGTCATCTTTCTGGGAGGACTGAGGACTAGCAGTGCATCAGCCATGCTTGCAAAGCCTTTTTCAAGTGACACGTAGAACATGTTTGTTGCAGCTGGAGAGCATCATTAAGCTGTGTGAGGGCTGAAAAATGGCACAGTCATCTAATTATAGCAAATGTAAGGCGTCTGGGAAAGGTTCTTTTGAAGGCTGCAGTGGCAATGGATATGCCCTCCCTGAGCAGAGAGCAGGAACCCCAAAAGTCAATCTGTTGCAGCAACATTATTTGAGCAGAAACAGAACATTTCAGTCCCTCTGAGAACGAGCCCTGCACCTGATTTTAAATGCAGCCACTGGGGCATGGTGAAGGCTGAGGAAAATGCAGCAGTGCTGATTGTTAAAAATAATTCCTCTGGCTGACTGTGAGTCTTGTGCTCCTGCACACCCAGACTGGAGTGAAGTTCAAACACCTTCAGCAGCAGCACTGTTTTTGCTGTAGCTGTGCATTGATATCTTCTCAAGGCAAAAATGGTCTTACTACTGCCTTTTTGAAACCACTAGTTTGTGAAACACGACCTAGTTGTACAGGAAGAAACCAGCAAAATTGCCCTCTTCTTTTTTTTTTTTTTTTAATTGAAAACACTCCACATAAAACCAATGAAACCTTTTTGGTGCTTAAGGACCAATGGGGAAGAATGCAAATTCACTGAGCAATTTAAGAGCTTTAAAGATGCCTTGCAGCATCCACAACTCCTCACTAAGAATGAAAGGATTGAATATAGAAATTGGTGGGTTTCTAGAATATAGAGTAGTGGTTCTATATGAATATAGAAAGTGGTTTTCTATATGTGCATTTTTCTTCACGTTTGCCTGCAAAGCCAGAGGTATGGTGTGCTGTGAGCTGTTCTTACTGGTTTAGAGCTATGCAAACCAGGATTGTCTTCCCACTCTTTTTTGAAGCAGAGCAGCACTCAGCTTGTGTCCTGCCTGCTTACATGCTGTTAATCTAGACCATGACTTCTCTGTTTTAGATATATCTTTGGGTTGTTTCAAGCCATCTTTAATCTTTCTCTTTCTCAGCAGGTTTGAGACAATTTGAGAAAGAACCATAGAAGACCACTAAAGACCTTGGACCAATCAGTTTGGGGACAAAAAAAAAGAAAAAGGAAAAAGTGCTAAATTGTTCTTTTTATATTTATGTTTATTTACCAAAATGTCTTTTTGCATTATCCCAGTTAAAACCATGTATATTAGCACTGTATTTAATAATCAGTCTAGACATTCATCATAATAGTACTGCCTTTGCACAAGAGCCTTTATTCCTAGAGAAATCCATGCTGTGAAATATATAGATTCTCCTACTGATAGTCATAACTAACTATGTATCTGAACAGTGATTTCAACTGGCATAAGAGGTCAACCCAAAACTCATGTAAAGTAAAGTTGCTTGAGAAAGGTGTGCAGTAAACCTATAAAAACAATGGTTACTTTTGTAATACAGAAGTCTTTCTTTCTGCACTTTAGACTAAGGCATGGAAGAAATATCTTTAGCTGACAATGTAATATTTTCTGTAAGTTGCCCATGTCATGAGAAATACTGCAGCAATAACGTGTTCTAATTTCTTTGTTTTATACTTTTTTTAAGTATCAATTTTTCCATTCTAGTTTAAGTTAATACCTAAATTTGGCTGATTATGTTAGCTGACAGCGGTACTGATCTTTCTTTTTGTTGTTAGTGACTAGTAATTGAATGCAATTTAGGATATATACACACATAGCTTTACAAAGTTTAGCCTAAAGGCACTACTAATGGTAGAATGCTTTAATATGTGCTAGAGTATTATATTTAGTAATAAACATACATAATTAGCCAATATCACAGCTTAAAAAAATAAAGACAAAATCACACACTCTTCTATAGTAAGGTTTCATAAATGCCATTAGAGGTATGGTGAGATAAGTATTAAAAAATTTTAAATGTCAGTTGCCTAGTAATGGGTAATTAAAAAGAAAGTATAGTTTTTAAAAAAGGAAAAGGTAAGGGTATAGAGGGTCAAAAATAGGTCACTTGTATAAAACATTGTAGTTTAATTTATATAAAACTACCATAATGAAAAAGAAAAAAAAATTAAACAGAGTTGGAGCTTGTTTCAAACAACTGTACACTAATCTTGCCATCCATCAGTGCCGTGCACCAAGGCCACCAAAAATGAAGTAAACCTCTATCATTATAGTGCTTCTTTTTACCTCTCTCCTGAATATCTTATTTACAGATGTTTTCATTTGTATATAGTAAACACATGGCTATAAGACGTCAGCTTGGTTTGAATTTACATACATACAGTTTAGCATTTACATCCTACAGTGTATGGGTGGCATAAACTGAGCAACTCAAGTAGCCCCTGAGCATGTTGTTAACAGCTTTGTTGTGCACCAGAACCCCCAGGATCTTCCTTTTCACCACTTCCATCTCTTACAGCATCTGACTTCTTCCTGAAGAAGTGTAATATTATATTTCAACTCAAAGATGAGCTCTCCTGCTTGGCTGAGATATCTTGTTTACATATAGAGATCCACGTAGTTGTCTGTAGGGGGTGAAACTGTGCCTGACATTGTCTGTGAGTTGTCCTGTTTTCTGTTTGGGGGTTTTGTAAATGCTCCTCTGAGTCTTTCAAATACATCTGATAGCTGCAATAAAAACGATTTGTTCAAACAATGTATTCTGAAACTGCATCCACAATAAATGGAATATTTCCATCCACAGCCCCCTGGTTGTTAATGAGTAGGAATGGGCCAATTGTTGCCACTGGGATAGGAATCATGCTAAGTTCATGTAAGATCAGGTATTGCAAAGAACCTCAAAAGAGGTTTCTCCTGATGCACCATCCTTCAGGAGACAGCCAAGTCATAAAATTGGCAACTTTAACACATATTCTTGAGGCTTGGGGGGAAATCAGGACAGGACAGGAGCTGTGCATCATCTGGAAAGAAGTGTGCTCAGCGAACTATGTTCTGACCTAGTGCTACAGCCATCTGCTTCCCTGCTTTGAAATGAGTGTTCTGTGTGAGAGGCACTGGGTTTCTTCTGTCTACCTCAGTGGGATGTGCTTCCAGGCTTTGGATGATGACAGGGACCAAGCCTGGGGAGCTGCAGGCTCTCCCACCATCCTCCTGTTATGTCCCTTCATTTTTGCTCTAACTGCAGTGCAGCATGTATTGTCCTGTTCTAACCAGGTCATGGTCATCCACAAGAGGCCCCCCAGGCTCTTGCCAGCTCCAGAGGAAGCAGTGGCAAGGCTGCAGCAAGCACAGCTTTCTGAACTACTGGAGGAGAAATAATTGGCTGCTGCTTAATTTAACATGAAAAGAGCTTGTATGCTTGAAAATACGCCTGTTTTCCTGCCTTCCACTGCTCAACTATGCTGCTGTGATTCTCTGCAAGCTTTGCTGAAGTGAGAGTTTCCCTTGCTGATTCAGTAGGTTTATTTTACTCCTGGTCATTGCCTCTCTCAAGGGCATGAAAGTGTCCTGGGCACAATTGGGTTTACTTTCAGAAAATACTCTAAAGTGGTGGAGCCATGGTCGGGTCCCACCAGCTGGCACCACCTCCTGACTGAATTCACCAAGGCAAATCCTTGTGGCTCACTCAGCAGTGCTGCAAGTTTTTGGGATTTCAATACATTGTGAAATGATGATCTTTTCAGACAATACCAAGTTGTAGTTTGCTTTCCTGCAGCAGACTCTGCATTCTAGACAGAGTTTCCCTTGTCAGCATGCAGAACATGACAAAACAGCTTGGCTTCAGCCTAGCCATATCTACCTGAAAATACTTCAAAGTAATTAATTGTGACTCTACCTCAGGGTTTGCTTTGGTGTTTTGAAAGTGTTTTCCTTAGAAATTCCTTAGAGAAGTTTTTCCTTTGAGACTTCCAGAGAAAGTCAGTTTCATTTTGGAGGTTATGATCAGTTGAGTGGATTTTAATGTGTGTTATCACTGCAGATGGTGCTGCCTTCAACTTTCACCACTCATCATACAAGAGTTCAGTTTCTAGGTGTTTGGAATAAGGGCTATGTGAGGCAATAGGTGCAATTTTGTTTTTTAGGTCCTACCTAGAACACAATCCCATTTGATGCATAAACCACTAAGTGGTCTCTATGTACTGTCCTTGTACAGGAATTATAGAAACATTTCTATCTGTAATAAAACTTGACTTGAGGCATGTTTTTCTACCTAACTGTATGAAAACATTTAAGCACTACACTGATTAACTTTTGTTGATAATAAAATTTTATTCATATAAAATTTTAAAGCATTGGAGATACACTCTATAAAAATCACAGCTATATAAAAAGCAAAGTAATTAAAGCATTCCTTGGCAGTGACTCAGTATGACTGACCACACAAATAACATATAAAAGATCACGGTAAGTAACTAGAGTTTTGTTAAACATGTCTCTACTTAAGAAAAACAAGGGGAAAATGAAGAGACATTGTGTTTTTACTGTTAATCAAACCCACATTTCTATTAGCCATCTTTACAGTAAATCCAGTCCTGTTGATGCAGTCTTACATCAGTTAGTGATCTCCTCCTAAAAAAACAGAAGGAAAAGTAACTGCTCATAGTGATTGTCAAGTACAGAAGATGAAATCAAGGCCAAGCTACAGAGTACATCATCTAATCCGGAAGATGTTCCATGGAGGTCTCTCAGAAACCACTTGCATTTAATATTCTGCCTTGAATGGGTAGTCCTTGTGATTGATAGCTCTGAAAAGAGAAAGAACTGGTTATTTAAGCACTTGAGAAAGTATCTTCAGCAGCATTTCCCTATTGTAGTCTCCCTCCCCCACTGGCAGTGTCCTCAAGATTTGCAGCTGTCATTAAATTAAACACAGGCTTGTGATAATGCACATGTAACACCAATATGCTGAAGGGAATGCCCTGAATCAATCTCCCTCCTGATGTCAGTTCCAGGACATACCTCATATCACCTGAGGTCCAGGGTTTAAAGCAATCTCTCCCTGGTTTTGATCATGTATGTTTTCAAGACATGGGGTAATGAAAATACAGACAAAAATAGGCCTAGTGGATAGTAAGGATAATAAAGAACATACTGGAGCACTGGAACTGCCCTCCAGTTCCTGTTAAAGCTGAGGATAACATCCATCTCCTTTTTGGACAGTTCAAAGTCAAACACCTAGCAAGGGAAAGAAAAAAACCCACCCTTTAAACTTAGGTTCAAGAAGAGTTAGCTGCTAAGTGTGCTTCATGCATTTATGACTTGAGGAAGGAACATACTGTGTCCACATTAAGCATAGTTAAGGAATCCTCTTATTTCTCAGCCAAGTAACAATTTACCCTTGAAGTAATCAGGATAGTCCTTCTCTCTGTGAGGTGCTGTTCATAGCAATGTCTTAACAGTTCTGGATGATTGAATGCCAACATCACTGCAGTTTGTGTTGTAATGCAGAGACAGAAAACTTCAGGAGCTCAGAATGGATTACTTGATGTGTCACAAATACTGGAACTAGAGGTAAATTTTCTGCTACAACAGAGGACTAGTGGGTACCAACTGCCCACAACTGCCTACTGTCTCACACTTAACCAATCATGTAAGA